TTTGAGCAACGCCTACTTCCTTCGTAAAAAGTACAGATTTCAAGCGACGAGAATAAATTGTTTATAAATGAAACTGTCTATGATTTAGCTTAAACATAATTTTTTGTGTTTTAAACTTGTGTTTTTACTACAAATAAACAACATATTCTTACAAAATATAATAATAAAATGAGCTCTAAACTAGCTACTCGATATACTCTTTGCGCATATACGGGGACTTCCGTGTTTACATTGACAACAAAGATGGCAAACCGGGAGATTTTAAATAGCCAAAAAAGGAAAAATGTCAACACTCCAACGACTGAAATCCCATTAAAGTTGAAAATGTCCTCATCTGAAGGTGTCATCCCTGAGATTCCGGGTCATGAAAACCTCCCCCCTCTTCATTTAGCCTCCTATTCGGCACTATCTTCAGACGCCACACCCACACTTTCTTTTAAAGAAATTTATCGGCACATGGTCCTGAGGCTTACAAAAGAAGGGGAGCGGATTAATAACTACAAAGGGCTAGACAAGGCAGTAAAGCACTTTGAAGCTGGTGATTTGTCACAAATTATGACTGCCCAGGTAACAATTTCATTTGTATTTTTCATATAAATATAATTACACATGACATGACCATACACATAAAAAACGAACGGAATTACAAAATTACCAATATAGTATTTAAAAGATTACAATTTTGATAAATCAATTGTCTTTTGTTGTTTGCAATGTATATACTTCTATATATCTAGTAATTTGGTCCTTTGTTCAACATTTCCCATTCTCTGAATTGAAATTTTAAGCTAATTTATAATGAATGAGATATTGATCATATTTACTGGTACTGCAATATACATAAAGATACTCCTGTAAAAAATGTACAACTGCATACCTGGTAATGCTGACATACACATTTATGTGTTATTTATGTATACATATTATTTAATAAAAATAGTCATAATTGAATTTTCAGATTGACAACTCCCTGGAATACATTAGAGCTTTTTGTTTGGCATCCATGAAAAAAGTTCGATATAAAGTCTACATTTGTTTGCTGGACAGGGGGAAAGTATGCTATGCATACTGTGAATGTCCTATTGGGTAAGGAATGTTTGCATCTGGATAGACAAACCTATTCAATATATGTCTAAAACACACATTGTAATATATTACTATATAAATTATGTAGATCTTTTAAAACTCCTTTGGTTCATTTTTAGGCTAGCACAATCATGCAGTCACACTGGAGGACTACTAATGTATCTCCATCACCTCTACCTCAGTCAGGTCTTGAGTGCTGACAGCTCTACATCTAAATCCTGTCAGTGGAGTGTACCCAGACCAATGAAGATGCAACCAAAGCCTCTCAAAGAGTGGAATTTTGGTAGACCTAAACTAGGCGAGGGAGGGGAGGTTGAGTTCAAGGAGAGGAAACAAATCCATTTTGACCCACGCCACCCTGATCAAAGGTCTTTTGAACTTTCCAGATCCATGCATCAACTGAAGATGTGTTTCCCAAAACCGGTAACCTTTTATTTTTATTTTCTTTTAGCATAACTAATTTAGTAAATGCTCATCATTGGGGAAAAACATACAAAGATTAAATCTCAATTCACAAATAATTTATTTATAATATAGCACTTGACAAACACTTTTAAAAAAGTGTATAATGCATGCACAACAAATGAATTATTCACGAATGTTTATATCTCAGGCATGGCTTAGTTATGGAACATCCCAGATGAAGCCCCGGACATGGAAAGTGAGGTGGAAGTCAGCACAACTGAAGATCCTTTAGAAAGAGAAATGAAAGCTCTGATCCTGTCTGAAGAAAACTGTAAGTAAAAAATCAGATCATATTAAACAATGGCAAATATCTTACAGTATTTTATTTTTGGTTTCTAATGTTGTTTATAATAGATATTTATTACATAAAATGATAATCATTTCTTATATAGTACCTCTGCCAATCTCAATTGAGGGAGGTCTTAGCCAATACATAGAGGAGAGGACAAGAGGACAAAGGCTATGCCAAACATGGAAAGATCTCCACAAAGGCAGGATTACAAGTTCGGTATTTGGTGCCATCCTTAGCTCTGGAGACACCCCCCACAGCTTAGTGGACCAAATCATAAATGGATCCAACTTAGACAGGTAAATGCTCATAACAACAGATGACAATATTCATGGGTCTGCACTTGATCACTAGATGACATCTTTACCATGACTAATTCTTTTTTCATAAAAATCTTATTTAGATATACAACACTCCCAAATGCTGTCCAGTGGGGCATTGATCATGAGAAGGATGCCATTGAGGACTACCTCATGTTACAGAGTGCTGTCACAGGCATGCAACTGACTGAATGTCCCGAGATGGAAAGGGGTTCAACGGTCTCAGCTCCTGGAACAGCAGGCACACCCAGGTAGTGAGGTACTGCGAGTAGGTCCCCACCGACACTCCTAAAAAATAAATACTGTTTGCCCAAAATAATTGTGAGGATACAATTTTGGCATTTTTAGCAAGAGTGTTGAGATAGCAAATATTAAATATCACTAACAAAATATTCCCCATTAGAAATTACCATTTTTTTCTGTTCACCTTTAAATTGATTAAATTACATTGGTCTAAATTAAAAACTGATTTTTAAGGAAAAATTGCTACATTTATGTCACACCAAAAATTCCACCATTATATGGTACAACATCTCTGAAGAGTTGGCAGATCTTTTAATGTAAATTTCATGCCTTTTTTATATTTGAATAATATATTTTCATATTATTCTTATTAGTTTACATGTGATGTATTATCACTATAACACTTAAATTTTGAAGAAAAAAATCCTGATAAGGCTATTAGCTCAAACACATACCAAAGCGTTCAGCAATATCTTCAACATATAATCCAACTTTAAGTTGCATCATCGTGGCAAGAAACTGATCTATAAGCTCCAATAACATCGCGCGTCTTGGTCGTGTCCTCTCTCCAGGGGTAGCAGAAGAACCTCTCCAGTACACCATCTCTTTGCACTTGGGCACCAGGTAGCTGCATATATAGATTTTATATGTTATTTTATTTGTATGTACAGTTTATTTTTTAAAGATGTCATTTTAGAGATTAGTTACATAATATTTCCAATGAATACAAGTGTGCTTTTACAAGTCTAAAACACAAATATAGTAATAAAACATTTTCTAAATAATTCAAATATTCTTTGAAAAATACAGCTAGACTAAGTGTTAAATTAACTACAAAGTTATACAAACACATTGTTAAAGTGTAAGCAAATCAATTTATACAATTTAAATTTGATAATTTTTGCTTAAATTTTAGATTAATCAATTACTTGAATAGCCACATAAAAACTGCAAAGCTAGGCAGTCCAGTGTAGAATTTCGTCTTGGTGTCATCATCCTTTATCTTGTCAACCGACCACTTATGACCCTGTAACCTCCTCAGCTCAGCTTTCAAGGCCATGTTCTCTTGTAACAGTGGGTCTGGATCACACTGTACACCTATATTGAATGGTACATGTATCATGAGAAAATATACCGGGTAGTCTGAGGCAAAAAATATGGTATTTTTCGCTATACATTTCTTCCTAAAGTTTAAATCCAACGCGTTGATAATGTTATCAGCTAAACTTCATGCTGACTTCGAATTTCGTCACAGGGCCCGATCGCCATCAGCTGACGTCAGGGAAATTTAATCTCGACACCAAATGCTACTATACATAAACTTTTTTAATACAACAATTATTAATTTATTATTTCATTGATAAACAAAATCAGAAAAAAATTAAAAACCGAAAGATTATGTTGTTTTGATAGTCTTGATTTTATTTAACATATGTTATATGTGTTAGAAACAATTCATAGGTAGAGGGTTTAATTGTTGAAGTTTCCGTTGTCGATAGGTAGCGCCTTATGGAAGTTTCCCGTGTCGATAAAAATTGCGTAATATCGTTGGACACATGCCATAACGCTAACCACTTAAAAATGGTCATTTTTCAATGTTGTTTCTACGTAGAAAAATGACCCCGTCAATATTGTACGGTGGTCACTTTTCGTCGTTACAGGGGCACTAAAAAGGAATGAATTCACGTCACCTCGAATTTTAACTTTTAGGCCTTAAAATATATGTCTTTCTTAGGTCATAGGGAGTTGTGGTATAAAAATTCATTGGAAAAGTTCAAAGGCTTCTCCAGATTTTGAGCGGAAACAAAAATGTTAAATCAAATAAAATTTGTTTATGATCTTGATCTACCTCAAAATCAACAAGAGTCTTTTTAGGCCATTGGAAGTTGTTATGTAAAATTGCATTTCATATGTTCTTGCGCGGAAATGAAATTGTTATACAGACGGTCGGACGTACAGACATACTGAAATTATCGTATACATCCCCAACTTTCAGTTAACCGGGGAGAGGGGGGCAATGGTAATTAAGGAACAAAAACAGAGTGAAAAAATATAATTGAAAGTACTTCACTGCCTTGTATTCATTTATTTATTCTCTCAAAAACCATATGTATGGTTCAAGAGGTACATATACATGTATACATATTCACAATAATTATGGACGAGCAGAAATTACAGGAGGACAGATCGAGAGTGTCAATTAAACATTTTGGTGATAAATATACACAATTTTCGTAAGAATGCTGGATCCGTGCTTGTCATCAAATTACAGAATTTTATAGTAATAGGATGTACATAGCATTTCTGCAAAAAAATCTTTTCGAATACCACATACATGTAATCGTTTACTATCTGATTATAATATATATATTACATAAATTACACACTCTTTCATTTCTTTCAACATTATTCTATCTACCCATTTCTATATTGGAAGACGATGGTTCCTTGTTGTATAAATGGTACATTGGGTTTGTAATAATTCTTAATTAATTAAAAGAAACACTTAAGCCTATATGTTTAAAAAACAATATTCAAACCATTGCCGTAAGTGTCATCTTGTTACAACACTGTCGTAATTACCGAACAATGTACAATTATACATCATCAGTCATCTCAAACAAAGCGACACAACCTTCATCAGTCGTGATGACAAATTTGTTTTTGTCGCTTAGTCGAATACTCCAAAGATTGCCCTTCAAATGAAAGTCTTTCAAATTCAACTCTCGAATTAAATTTCCATCTGAAGACAACTGGTAAAGTTTGCTACTGCTCATCCCAACTGTGTATATATTACCTTCATAATCAGTGCTAATGCCACGAAATACAGAACCAAATCGTTCGAATAATGTCTTCTTCTTCTTAGAATGCACCGAAATTTCCATCAGTTCATCATTTTTCGTGCACAGAATACAATCCAAATCTTGTTTTTCGGATAACATCCAGGTGTTGAACATCTGTATTTCATCTTCTTTTACTCCGACATCAGAATATATCTGAAGACCGATGCTACTAGCGATGTAGAATTTATCATTCATCCAGCACAAGCCCCTACAGTTAGCAGATGTTGAAAATAGTTTATTAACAACGCCGTTTTTTATATCAAGTTCAATAACTTCTCTCTCGAAAGGCAAAGAAACAAATATGAGACCAGCTCTGTTACACGTTATGTCCCATGGTTTTCCAGGCACCAAAATTGTAGATTTGCAATTCAAAGACAAATCGCACGCAAATACTTTTTTATGAGCGTAGTCAGCAATAATGATGTTACCTTGATGATCGAATACAGCACTACAGATGACACAATTTAAGTCTTTTTTATAAAGCATTTTGATTTTACGTCTTTTCATGCAACCTTTTTCCAGTTCAATATAACGTCCAATTGTTGTCAATTTTGACTTCAAATTTAAAAATTCAGAATCGGCATGAAACGAAAGTTTTCCATCATATGGTATTTTGACAGGGAAAACACTAGAATTCTTCTTTATTTCTCCTTCTGATTTCAATATGTTTTCTCTTTCTACTAAGCATTCTTCATTTGACCCTTGTTCTACTGACACAGTTAGTAATTGTTTTTGATACTTTGCTCTTGATAAGAGATTGGAAAGATTTGAAATCTGGTTCTCAAGAGTTTTAGACTCATCTTGTTCATATTTCTCAAGTCTCTGTTTAAATGAAGCTCTTAGGCTTTCCAAGTGACTGATAAAATCATTTATCATTGTATCAACTCCCTGTTCTATAGTTTCTTTAGATACATGTAAGTTTTTTTGACGTTCTTTACAGAAAGACATCTTTACTTGTATATTTTTGACCAATTCATCTAACGTAGTGTTTAATGCAAGTGTAACCTTTTCCTTTTTTACATCTTTTGCAGCATTTTCTAATGTCAATATATCAGAACACTTTCTGTGATGAAAAGTAGCACATAAGGTGCAGCATGCTGCATGGTGATCAATACAATACATCTGTGCTTGAGAAAATGGGTGCTTTGGGCATGGTATAAAACCTCTTAATGTTGCGGTTTCTTGACGGGTCTTAAGCGAGTGTAAGTCCAGAAAAGAATGGTTGCGAAGTGATTTGAATTTTTGGTGATAGCTTTCACATTGCTTGCAAAGTGCCTCAGTGCAATTTACACACCAAATTGACGCAGGCTCTTGTTTACCTTCATATCTGCACGGATCACAAGTTTTACTTTCATTTTCAATTGAATGTCTGTCTATCAAATTTGCTATAAAGAAATCGTCAGGTAAATTTTCAAGCCACGATTTTGATAAGTTGTATTCGATCACCACATCATTTCTGCAAATTGGACAATAAAATTTTGAAAGTGTATCCTCTTTCCTTTTTAAATTTTCAGTACTTGACGTTTTGATTTCGATCCCCCTTTGTACATAATTCTCCAAACAGGATTCACAAAATGAATGTAGACACGGCAAACGTCTTGGATTTTTGTAAATTTCCAAACACATTGAACACTTGAGCAGAGCATCAAGGAAATCACTACTCTCTAAAGAAACGGTCATTTCTTATCTGGAAAGCGAAAAGTGACACCTCAATCACGCGTCGTCGAAAAGAATGTCATGAATAAACTTTAAATTGACCCGTGTTAAATTTCCCCGGTACGTCGATTTACCCAAATGGACCCAAATGGAACCCAAATGGAATCAAATGGACCCAAATGGAAATCAAATGGACCCAAATGGAAATCAAATGGACCCAAATGGAAATCAAATGGAAATCAAATCGAATTTTTAATATGTTTTACTGTGGTTTTATTAACTTTTACTTTTTAATTATTTAATTTTTTGATTATTTAAGTATTATATGTGTTCATGTATGTTTTTGAAAATTAATTAAATACTTTATACATTATTTTATTATTATGTGTCAAAGTACTTTATCTTTTTTTCTTACGAATAAATATATTAGCATGTGATCATATTATTTTTTAAGGGGGGATATATCATTGATTTCAATTATTAATGGGTAATTATCCAATAGGATCGATGAATTTGTACTATAATTTGGAGTACTTAGCAATAACCAATGGGATTAATTTATATCTCTGAGAAGATAATTATGAGACATTTACATTTTAAAAACACGCTTTTGGGGAAAATTCTTCCTACCTGAATTTTTCTTCAAGGAGAATTTGGATTCTATGTACGGTAATTTTTTTTCTACATTAAATAATTTTTTCCCTATAAGATATTAAAAAAGCACTGATTTAATTAAGTAAATCAAAACATATTTCCTTTTATATTAGATAAGAAATAATTTATTATTTTACTTTACTCCGGCTACGTATATAGACATTGATAAGCATACTGTTGCATTCATTTAAAAAGAAAAATTAAATAGATCGTACAAACAAGGTATTTTAAAATTAAATTATTTTTATACATGCAATATAGATTAATAAAAAAAAAAGGCATCAATTAGATTTTTGTTTATAAATCCAGTACTATAATCACTTTAATTATATACACAATATTACAATAGTCTTAATCTAAATGTGTAATTTTTTAGAAGATATAATTATTTACCAGTATTAATTAGACCTCCTTATAGTTGATACTGTTCTATAGTAGGGTAATGACGGTATTGTTATCAAAACAACCGATTATTTGACACGCGTCACATAATTTGTGTACTCCTAATAAACAAAGGAAGGTAGTAGTTCAAATTACACAACTCTTCGCATTTTGTTAATTAAATTATCTTACATTACAAAAAATATTTACTGCATATTGTAAAGTTAAGCGTAGTTTTTTCTTTATATCAGTAATCCATGAAAGTTAGATAATTTATAAGATGTGTGATGTATATATCATGTTTTGCGAACGTGTACACGTATACAATACGATGTTGCTGTAAATATTACGTGTGTTGGCATAATATGAAAGTTAGATATATATAATTGTATATTTGTTGTGCCTTTTGTTTTTAGCTTTTATAAAACGCCTTTCACCAAATTAAATGTACCATTTTTAAGCGGATATGCATGTTAACTAGATTTGCTGTTGTTTGTATATGTATTTTGTTCTTTTTAGTTTCCATATAGTTCTTCTTTGTGTATTTGTAAAAATTATTATTTATGTATTTAATTTCAGTTTAATAATCGAATTTAATTTTTTTTCCTCATTCATCAAAGAACATAAACTAAAAATTACATTATTTTTTCTCCATTCTTCCTAATTTTCGAAAAAAAAAACCTTTGGCTTTTCTTTGGAATTTAATTGATTTTTTATTTTTAATTTTTCAAATTCAAAATTATGGCTCTTCTTTGGGATGGCAACCACGTGGCAAGAGATGGGCAACGTTATCTATAAACTACAATAAGAAATTGAACGATAAACTAATTTTATTTTACATCTAAATCCATCGAATAGTCAAATAAATTATTTTTTTCACTTTATATAACGTTTAATATGAAAAATATTATATTTAAATTTCCATTTGGGTCCATTTGATTTCCATTTGGGTCCATTTGATTTCCATTTGGGTCCATTTGATTTCCATTTGGGTCCATTTGATTCCATTTGGGTCCATTTGATTTCCATTTGGGTCCATTTGGGTAAATCGACGCACCCAAATTTCCCTGTGTGTATAAAAGTATTTGCAAACAATATGCGATAATTGCGCTCAGTGAAAGACATTCTTCAGTATAATTCCAATCACTGACGTCAGCTCACCACAAATCTTCCACAAATTGACCAATGAGAGTTAGTTGCTGATGCGAGTCTAAATCTTAGTGTCATCGGAAGTAGAATATCCGCCATATTGGATACATGGTTTTTCTTGAATCAACACACTCGGAGATCCTCGGATGATTCGTACCTCGCACATAACGAATGGAGCGTAGCGGAGTCAGCCGAGGATTGCCGATTGGAATCAACAGAGATTTTTTTTTAGCTTATAAGAAATTCAAGGTGTCTACACCAGTGACATACTGTTTTATTAAAAGCTAATTTTAGAGTAGGTTCCGTGGAAGTACAGCGCTGTATGTCGTAAGGCTGACAAAGCATAGAAACCAAGTAAGTACACGTTAAAATCTATCCCCCCTCCTCCGCTTCAAGACCATACTAACATGTGTATTCTAGTTAGCTATTATCGCGTTTTTAACCGTTAAATCTTACAGATTTTTCTTGCAAATAATGTACGAGAATGTGAATAATTAGAGCGACTTCATTTAACCTGCACTGGTCGTAGCCGATAACTGAAAATGATACGATAACATGTACCCCCAACTGTTACAGATTGTCAGGGTTGTGTCTGCTTTTTTCTCACACATGTGTGGTGTATAATGTATCAAAGTCATTGATAGGGAGTCTATTTATCGCCGATATCAAGTTACAAGTGGGTTTAATTTGTTGTAGGAAGGACAGAAGTAATTAATGTTTATAAAACCCCGTTTACAACCCATTTGATTTGCACAAGTTTTGCTTATCAGGTCAGATACTAATAACACCTGTTTTCTTAATTATATCCTTCAATGAATTAAAAGTATGTTTTATCTGAAGCACGTGTATATTAATCTTGAATTAATCATCTGATAAGGATACACTTTTTAGTAATTAAGAAGTAAACTGAGCATAATGCAGATGCATGTCTTCATAGAAGGATTGTACGTTTCTTCACAGCAACACATTCTAATTCAATTGTGAGATACAGATTTGATTAATTGTTTTTTGACTACAGAATGTTGCCACGATTCAGACGAACAAGAGGTGGTGACCTGGTATACTATAGGAAGGAAGAGGCAGAGAAAGGATTAGTGAATGCACCAAATGTTCGTCCCTCTGAACTTCCGTCCAAAGTGAGGGCCAATGCTTTGCGAGCTGTGAGGTTCCATGGTGGGGACGTTAAGAACGATAAACATGTTTTGGGGCAGTACGTCGTTCAGTTTGGCAAGTACAGGGGCCAGACCTTCTTGTGGATGGTTGAGAACTGTCTGGGGTATTCAGGCTGGCTAGTGGATGCCATGCGGAGAGAGACGATCACTCAGGCTCCCTTGTCGCAGAATAAGCATGCCTTTAAGGACTACTTACTGTCGTTTGATGAAGGTAAGCAAAGTATAAATCAGCTTGATTGAGAAATATTAAAGTTGTATGCTTTTAAAGCACTAAGTTACACCACGGTACAAGAAATTATCATAAATGAAGAATGCTAGAATATTTAAAAATTGAATGTTACATGTGTACATCTGTAAGTACATAAAGACTTAATGTACTGGTTATATTAAGTTAAAGAAGTTTATTAACATGATTAAATTTATATGAAGAAAAAAAAATGTGTATTTCCAATCGACGTAGAAGCTTTTATCTGTTTTGGTTAATAGTTTTGGTGTTAACTGGGGAGCATTTTATATGTACTATTATTCTTAATAAAACTAAATACAGTAAAATATGCTTATAATGAAGTGTCTGAGACTAATGATTTTGCTTCGTTATAAGCACTATTGATTATATTCGTTAAGTTAACAATGTATTAAAATGTCGCAGGGAATGAAAATCACTTAGCTATAAGCGACAATTCATTATATTAAGCTTTTTCGCCATAACTGTGTTTTATTGTATGTTTTTTTTGTTGATGAAATGATGTGAAGTGATTGTTACATTTTATATTTTGACATTTATTCCTGAACATACAAAAGATTTGTACAATCACATTCTATAACTCTCTATAAGGTTTAATAACTTTATGCGTGTTATAAAGAAATTTCTTCTTAGCATTATTCTTAACTTTGAGTATAGTATAAGAGGCAGAGTATAGTAGTAATCACTTTAACTATACATGTAAAAATTCTTTCCATAAGGTCGTGAGGTTGTGGAGTTAAAAAAAGAGCAGCGAGTCAAAGAGGAGGAGAAGAAGAAGGAAGTGTCTTTGCCACCACAAGTATTGTTTGCCAATCTTCCTGCTGCAGAGGCAAGACGACTTCAGAGAGAAAAAGCGGCAAAGTCACGGCCAACCATAAAGCCAACGATTCCCAGGCCAAGTCCAAAAAAGCATGAAATGTCAGATGAAGCCTTGTTGGGGGAGGTTGAAAAGCTAGAAGACATGCTTTCACAAGGTCATTTTTTCCATATATTTATGTCTTATAAAATATTGTCAGTTACTCTTAAAATGAGAAAAGCATGCAATATTCTTTTATTGAAAATTACAGTGATATAAGAGTAAACGTACTACTGTTTTAAGATAATCCAGTTCAATTTTTAAAGTTTTAGTTCATCCCGAAAGATTATAATTGTTTACAAAATGACTTATGTTCTGCAAAGCTTTCTTTAGAAATCGGAAAACATTGGTAAGTGTAAGCCGTGGTGTGTGGTATCATATATTAGTACATGTGTATATTAGACATCGTCATTTTTCGTTTCACGTTAAATCATCAAGTGTCTAGTCATATGTCATACATGTATTAACTCTATTGTGTGGGATTCCTGCTTTTGTCATATTTTGCCTTGTGCTAGAATCACAATCATCATCATTATTTCCATTCCAGGGCTTTTGTTTTTTCTTTATACCATTTGTAGACACATTGCATAACCTCTGCTAACATTTTCATTATTACATGTATTCATTCATTTAAAACCATAACACTTAAAACATATGCAAATAATATCTCATATTAAAACTCATTTCATCATGCGCTTTTTTCATTTATTTTACTTAAATACGACGTAGTATCTTTAAATATTTTTTTCCTCACATACATGTAAGAAAAGACGGTCTCGTCATATTTTTTATAACAAATAAGAGAATAGTGAAAAATCATATAATTTTTAAGCGTTCTTGACACTGAATATTCTTGATAATGACTTGTGAAAATTTTTTAAGATGAATGTAAATGTTTATGAATGTTAAAAATGTTTGTCTTTGCTCATATTATTATCATGCATTGTAGATTCCCCTGCCCCAAAGAGCCACACAGTGTCCAGAGACAGTGATCTACATGTAGATTCCCCGGCACCATTGGTTTCTGTTAAAGAAACTGGTATGTATAGGCACTTCTTTTTAGCTCTACTGGTCAGAGACCAGAAGAGCTTATGCGATAGTAATGCGTCCGTCGTCCGTCCGTCTGTCTGTCGGTCTGTCTGTCTGTCTGTCTGTAAACAATTTTTCAAAATGCTACTGCTCCTACAGTTTTGGTCCGATTTCAATATAACTTGGCACACAAGTAGACTACACTAAGATACATTATTTTGTGCATCGGGTTTTGATTTCGATAAACGGTGTTGCCGTGGTTACTAAAAATAGAAATTTCTGTGAAATTCTTTCAAAATGCTACTCCTCCTACAGTTTTGGTCTGATTTCAATATAACTTGGCACAAAAGTAGACTACACTAAGATACATAATTCTGTGCATCGGGTTTTGATTTCGATGAACAGTGTTGCCGTGGTTACTAAAAATAGAAATTTCTTTGAAATTCTTTCAAAATGCTACTCCTCCTACAGTTTTGGTCTGATTTCAATATAACTTGGCACAAAAGTAGACTACACTAAGATACATAATTCTGTGCATCGGTTTTTGATTTCGATGAACAGTGTTGCGTGGTTACTAAAAATAGAAGTTTCTGTGAAATTCTTTTAAAATGCTACTCCTCCTACAGATTTGGTCCGATTTCAGTATAACTTGGCACACAAGTAGACTACACTAAGATACATAATTCTGTGCATCGGTTTTTGATTTCGATAAACGGTGTTGCCGTGGTTACTAAAAATAGAAATTTCTGTGAAATTCTTTCAAAATGCTACTCCTCCTACAGTTTTGGTCTGATTTTGATATAACTTGGCAAACAAGTAGACTACACTAATGCCCTGTTCACACGGAGAGTTTAATTCGAATTAAACGTAAAGTTACTGCGAATTAGCTTCGCTTAGCGTTCACACGGAGAATTTAATGCGAATTAGTTTAATTCGAATTAGTTTACTGCGCATTAAATTACTTCGCATTAGCTCCGTGTGAACGCTAAGCGAAGCTAATTCGAATTAAATTTTGAGGCATGCGTAATGGCAAAAGTAGGTCAAATGCCACATGTCCGTGGTCAGCTTGGAGTATTTGTGCTATTTTTGAGTGAAAAACTAAGGAAAAGTGTGTTAATCACTAAAATGTGTGTACAGACACTGTAACATTATGTCAAATGCATCTGCTCCTGCATAAGGTGACGTGATTTGCAAATGACGTCATAATAGCCTTACTGACGCCTGGCCGTAGAAGTAGAATTTAAAATTCGCATTAGTTTACTTCGCATGAGCTGTCGTGTGAACGCAATTTAATTCGCATTAATTTGATTCGCATTAGTTTACTTCGCATTAATTTACTGCGAATTAAACTCATCATGTGAACAGGGCATTAGATTACCATTAACGTCTTTTCAAGTAATGCCCTGTTCACACGGAGTGTTTAATTCGAATTAAACATAAAGTTACTGCGAATTAGCTTCGCTTAGCGTTCACACGGAGAATTTAATGTGAATTAGTTTAATTCGAATTAGTTTACTGCGCATTAAATTACTTTGCATTAGCTCCGTGTGAACGCTAAGCGAAGCTAATTCGAATTAAATTTTTAGGCATGCGTAATGGCAAAATTAGGTCAAATGCCACATGTTCGTGGTCAGCTTGAAATATTTGTGCTATTTTTGAGTGAAAAACTAAGGAAAATTATGTTAATCACTAAAATGTGTGTAGAGACAGTGTAACATTATGTCAAATGCATCTGCTCCTGCATAAGGTGACGTGATTTGCAAATGACGTCACAATAGCCTTACTGACGCCTGGCCGTAGAAGTAGAACTTTAATTCGCATTAGTTTACTTCGCATTAGCTGTCGTGTGAACGCAATTTGATTCGCATTATTTTGATTCGCATTAGTTTACTTCGCATTAATTTACTGCGAATTAAACTCGTCGTGTGAACAGGGCATTAGATACATAATTCTGTGCATCGGTTTTTGATTTCAATGAACAGTGTTGCCATGGTTATTAAAAATAGAAATTTCTGTGAAATTCTTTCAAAATGCTACTCCTCCTGCAGTTTTGGTCTGATTTCAGTATAACTTGGCACACAAGTAGACTATACTAAGATACATAATTCTGTGCATTGGTTTTTATTTTGATGAGTGGCAAGGATCATTTTTCTATTTATTGCTGATTTAAAGTCTCAAGTCCCAACTGCTACTTTTCTCTTCCTTTGTTTTAAGTATAAACCAGTAGAGCTACAGTCTCGACAGAGACTTCTGGTTTTAACATGTTTTTTGTTTTTGTTATGGTGACGACCTATTTCTATTTCTCCCTATTCATGTTGTAGGATTTCTCAAGACATCAGGACTCCCTTCTACCTCTGAGCCTAAAGAATCACAGACCTTGTCCTTACAGCCTAAGTCCTCCCAGGCTTTGGTAGCCAAGGGCAGTCCCACCAAGTATTCCAAGCCGCAAAGACCAAGGTTGTCTAAGGCCGAGAAGTCCCAGTCAGTGGTGCCCAAACCTGTAGTGGTCCAGTCAGTAGTGTCCGAGCCAGTGGTGCCCTTGCCTTTAGTGTCCGAGCCAGTGGTGTCCTTGCCTTTAGTGTCCGAGCCAGTGGTGCCCTTGCCTTTAGTGGCCGAGCCAGTGGTGTCCTTGCCTTTAGTGGCCGAGCCAGTGGTGTCCATGCCTGTGGTTACTGAGCCTGTAATATCTGTGTCTTCAACTCCACCAGAGACCAAGAAGACGACATTTACCCCATTTTTTAAACCAGCTGTACAAGGTAAATAAATTGAGATCAATTTAAATTCTTTAAATATTTACTTTTACATGTATAAATATATGATACATTTTAAATAAAATTTAAGCATGCTAATTGAGATGAATTTTTTTTCAGACTATCCTATCATTGACAGCTGGAAGGGAAGTCTACCACCAGAGGATATTCCTTGGATATCCAAGGCTTTGTTCTCGTTCAATGCCAAGGGTAAAGCTGAGCTGGATGATAGGAAGATAGACCGTCTATGGTACGAGCCACCTCAACCCCCACTTGTGCCAAATCAAAAGCCTAAGCCAGAGAGGTACTTTGGTCACCGCCTCCTGATGTGGATGCCTCTGCGGATGTTTAAGAGGCTGTCCATCGAAAAACCAGGCAATGGGTGGCACATCGCATGTCATGGATTTTAATTATTTTTTGCATGTAGACTTATTAAAGCAAGTGTTTACACATGACAACATCAAAAAATTTTATAGTGCTCCTCTAGTCCTAGTTTTGGTAAATGCTTAATTTTAAGTGCAAAAAGGTCAACATGAGGGTAAAAAAAATACTACGTTTTTATTTTGTTTTATATGTAACAGATACTCCAGATGTGGATGTGCCGATGAATATTATTTATAGAATAGACTTTTATCTTTTATTTTATGTATGAATAAGACTCCAATTTATACTTCTTTAGAAAAAATTATCTGGTCCAAATTTGAGTTTAACAAGTATATGTTTAAATTCAGTATCCAATTTTAATTACGTTATAAAACCCAATACAATGCAATGACATATTTGTTTACTTATGTTTTTATGAATACAAAGTACAGTCTCTTGGGTCATTCAATAAAATCTTTGGGAAAAGGTATTTTGAAAGAAATAAAAGGAGTCAAATTTACTTATTTTTTTATAGTTTTCACAAATGAAACCGATCCCGATCGGAATTGTATAAAGAAGAAAATACTAAAATAGTAATGTCAAATTTGGCTCTTTTGTTGTAATATGATTAAGAAATTACTTGATTCATTTTTTTAACATTTTATATAGGTGACAGGTGCCTTTAGTTTGATAAATTTATTAATTATGCATTATTTTCGATCGGGATCGGTTTTATTTCAATCGGGATCGGTTTTTTCCGTAAATTTAGAAAAATTTCCTAAATTTGGCTCTTCATGTTAATTTCTCAGAAAAAATGCTAGTCTGTTATTTCTTTTCCGTCAGTTTACTGTTTTTTAAATGAGTGTAATCATAGATTCAAATGTATGTATTATTTAAATTACCAATGTCTTTTACTTACATGAAGATTACATGTAAAACATCTGATCTGATTGATTTCTTAATAGATACGTACTAGGGATTTAAAAAAAAATTATTTGTGCATCCATTATGCAACAACCAAAGTAGACAACTTTCTAGCTTCATTATTCATCTCATTTCAAAGTAAAATTTCATTTTTATTTGTCTCAGGAATGAAAGATTAAATTCTATCAGTAGCGAAATTAAAATTGCCTAAATGCAAGAAATATTTTTATGCGTACAGTCTCGACTTTATCCAAGTTTTTTCTTACCTGTCGTCTGTAAAGCCTTTTCCTCTTTTACAAAATTTGATTTTATATAAATAAGAAAATATGTTCTTTCATGTAAATTATAATTATTAAAGAGTCGATAAATCGCAAGCAAGAAGCGAGGAAGGGAGCTAGGGGGGGGGGGGGGGGGGTGCGGGGCATGGCATAATTATTTTTAAAAATTGGTTTCATGAACGTGAAAACATTTTAGTATTGGTCAACATAGTCACAGGTTTATACTCCATATCAAATATGAGTGTGTGATTGTTTCAATCGCCGAATAGAAATTAAGAAATAAAATTAAAAAAAAATGTTTCACTAAACCACCTTCCGTTATAGTGCCAAATTATAGTCGGGAGTTCAGCAGTCATATTTTTATAACTTATTTTTCAGTTTTTTTCATTTTTAATCGTACTGAAGATCATTTATTTTGATTTGATTGCATAAATAAATGTATTTAAGTTTTAGTTTTTACATCTACTAACTTCGTTGAATTAAATGTTGCGTAAATCTAAAACATCCATCATTGATTCCCAATTTTATAAGAAATGTTCTGAATCATAATAAACACTTTATTAATTATTTTAACGCATATCCTGGAAAATCAAATTCAAAAAATTAGTTCTCGGTCATGTATAAAATTACTTATCAAAACATCATCTTGCTGATACGCCGCCTGTGTACTGTGTACTAATTTAATGTATACTATACAAATACTAAAGTTTTGAGTCCGAACATTATTTAATCTAAAACAATAAAATTCAACTAGTTATACTATGTAAATCTATTGGGTGTATTATTGAGAGAGTTGGTTGCTTGATTAATGACACTGTAATTTTTCATCCTTTGTTTTATTTTTCTCACGCATGCTGTATTGTATTGTACATAATTTATGTTTGTATTTTCTCTATACTGATGTGCAATTTAAGAGAATAAACTATTGAATTGAATTGTAAAATACATTTTGATATTAAAATATTATTTAACATTTAGTATAATGCACTCTGAAGAGTATTTAACAGAAAAAGAGAAATAATTTTTTGAAAAAATATTTTTCTTTACACTTTACGGAAAGAATTTACAAACTTGTCTGGAAAACTTGTAACTATTTCATTGTGACGCAATATTATGACGTCACTGATACATCAATGGAAACGTGGATTTAACCTGAATCTTATAGCCAATATTTTAATCTAAATATACTGTTTGGAGGCGAAAATGAATTATATTTTGAAAATAAATTATTTATTTTGTGTTTAATAATTTTCTTTAGTGTATCGATTCTAAATATTTCACTAGGATTCCGATTAAAATGTGTTTAGCAGATTTACCGATGCCACGGGAGATAACTCTTGCATCGCAAATTTTCATAAAAACGTATATATATATTTTGCCAGAAAACTTCTATTAAAAGTGTTTTTCCCAATGATTTTATTTTTTTAACAAAAAGATGAAATATTTCAAGATTTATTTAAGTGTGAATTATAGTCCTGTTAAAATTGTATTGGAAATTACAGTTCTTTGTTTCTGACCTACTTTCAATGGTTTATATAGGGGAAGTCAAAAACACAAAACACAAGGATATTTTACTGAATAAGCAATTTTCAAACAAATCTTCAATTACATTATTCCTTTTGGACTACATTGATATTGTTTTTCATAAAATATCAAATATTCCTCACATTCGATGTGCCGCCTCTTAATACAAAACTGCCTGGTTTTTCGGTGGACTGCCTCTTAAAGTGCAGCTAAAGTGCCCCAACTGTAAGAAAACCGAGCTGACCAAACAGGGGCCCTATAGGAACACCCGCCTTGTTTTAGACGTGGATGGGTTTTACATTCTTGCTGCTGAGTATTTACATTGTTCCTTATGCAAGAAGAACCAGATCAGCTGGAACCAATGCATCTTGGATCAACTGGATCCCAGCACCAGAAGTAAATTCCCAGTCCATGTTCTATACAAGACAGCATGTGACCAACGGGTGATTTTCATGATGCATCAGCGAGGTTTAGGTAAAATTTTACAGTCATGTAAATATTTTCAAGATTTCTCTTTTAAAGATTTGGCTTGTTTAAGTGACCTCAGTTTATTGATTTTTTTTAATAGTCATTTTTCTTTTGTTAACTTTTCAAGGAAACAGCCCAACTCAACTACAGAAGCAGATAACTGAGCTGCACAACACAGTCTGGGCCTCAAAGATGGATTCTACCAAGAAAGTAAGTATGTTTTGGAAAGTACTATCTAGTTTAGTTTTTCATTTATTTTGTATATGTTAAGTAATGATATTTTATTTTTTACCAAGAAAGTAAGTATGGTTTGGAAAGTACTATCTAGTTTAGTTTTTCATTTATTTTGTATATGTTAAGTAATGATATTTTATTTTTTACATGTTTACTTAAAGGAATCCATGCTTTTTTCAACTTGCAAGTGACTAAGAAACTGGCTGGTCAGGCAGCACGAACCACATCATGGGCAGCAAACATCAGTAACGAGTTTGGTCAGGTCCTCCAAAGTGTGCTGACTTCTGGGGAGGGAGTTGGTTTGGAGCCAATGGTTGCTGGCATTGTAAGGAGGTATCGGGAAGCAGAAGTACCACCTCCGGTCCTACTTTATGTTGACAGTCACTGCTGCGGAGCCTCCAAGCTGATGGACATCTTCAGGGATGCCTGGCCAGACCTCGCCCTTCGTCTTGATGTGTGGCATTTCATGCGCCGTTTGGCTGTGGGGGTAACAACTGACACTCATCGCCTGTATGGAACTTTCATGGGCCAGTTGTCCCATGCCATCTTCAAGTGGGATAAGGATGACCTTTCCTTACTGAAGGCAGCCAAGCGCGAGGAGATGATTGCTAACAATATCAGCGATCCAACTGAAACAGACATCATAAACAGACTGACAAGAAACGAGATGGCCTCTCACTGTCGTCGAACCACAAGAGGAACAGAGGAGACCATTGCCATGATCCAGATGCTCCTAGAGATGTTTGATAGTGAACAAGGCCGAGATACCATGGGCGTACCACTGTTCCACCACGAGCGTATCTGGGAGATCTGGAGAGTGCAGAAAAATCATGTCGTCTGTCTCCAAGACCCCGACGGAGTTCAGCTGTACATGCAAACAGGGACCTTAAAGAAGGGCAACATTACCCTCCCTGTATTTCGCTGTGCCAGGGGTTCAACATCATTGGAGTCTTTCCATTTGCACCTACAGCACTTCATTCCAGGTATGGGCACATTATTTTTTCCAAATATAAGGTTAAAATTTCTATGATACAAAAATGGCATTGTATTATGTTGTACTATTGATGTTTATGAATTTTAAGGAATTTTTTTTACTATTTCAGGTACCAGTGCTAGTGCCAACAATTTCCAGGTGTATCTTCTGGAAGGCCTCCAACGCTGGAATGAAGATAGGACGGCGGCTGCAATTGGTGCAGATCCGGACCCTGTCTGCTACTCTGCCTCCCTTAAACACACCCTCAACAATCTGGGACAAGCCATGTTAGGAAGAAAGTTCTTTCCTAACTATGTAGACCCCAGAAAGTACACTGGTAAATATTGTTCTAAATCTTCATCATTTCACTCTTTATTGTTAATTTTTTGAGAGATAAAGTGTACACTTTTAACATAAATACTGTGTTTTATTAGGAGAGCTTATTGGTATCGACTACCTATTCAGCCAGACAGGTAGATCCCTGGAGGAAGTGGTAGTGGACAGGGGTGCCGATGATGAAACAGCAGCAGATGAGACGTCAGACACATTAGACGAGGGTTTTGATGAGGAAGAGGAATTTGAGGATCTTACTGTCAGTATGGTAGATTCATTTCTACCTACTCAACAAAGTAGATCTTCAGATACCCCTTGTAAGTTTTTTCTTTCTTTCAAAATAAAAAAAAAAATGTATATTTAAAAATTTTGAATGTATTCTTTATTGAATATGCAAAATTATTTGAAATCAACTTTAAATTTCAGCTTCACAAACCAGTCCGCCTGTAATAAAGACCTCCTCTGATGCTGGATCATCTCAACTAGATGTAAGTATGCATATTAAAATAACACACAGAAGACATAAAATCAACACTTTGTTAACTTTTTATATATGTGATTATATATAATTCATCTGTTGTTGTAGGAGGCTGTTGGACCAGACAATGTTGGTGGCTACCAGCATGTGGTGGCACTGGTGGAGTATCTCTACAGACTCAGAGAGAAGCAGCCACCAGTTGTCACCAATGCTGAGGCTGAGACCATAATTAGCCTGTGGAACAACTTGACACCTTTCGACCAGGCCCCCTCTAAATTTAGGGACAACTTTAAGAAGCAGCTTATTAAAGGCAGGTTTAAAGCCCCGAAATCTACAAGAATAGATGTTGTGCCGGGGGTACAAAGTGTCAAGAGGTAATTATTTATTGTTTTTTCATAAATATTTTCTCTTTACATACAGTTACTTAAAAAAAAAATATCCTCAAAGATCTGCATTTCTTGTCCAGCATATTTCATGTTCTTATTCTGCTTATCTTCCTTGTAGATGTGCACTGGCTCCCCATCTAGGACCTGCAGCCTGGCCAGACACCAACAGATACCAGGAGGCCTTCATATCCCGACTCTGTTTGGCCTTTCCATCATCAACCTCCAAGGATGGTAAGCGGCAACCTCGCTGGAAGGCTGTAATCGATGCCTACAACAGAGTTCGGGATATGATATTCAGCAATGGAAAAATCATGGCAGAAACCAACATACAGCTGCCAGTTGTTAACCAGAGAACTTTGACAGCATGGTATGTCAACTCACATTTCCTTATTTCTAAAGATAATAACCACAGTAAAAGTGTTACCCTATACATCTATCCATAAATGTTTGAAACTCAATTTATTTTTATTATTTTGAAGGTTCAGTGCAAGAGGCTAGAAAAGGAAACTCTGGAGCAGGGCCTCAAAATTCAAGGAGCACCATCTGTTGCAGCCCAGAGTTTACCTTCCCCGCTGCAGAAACCAGACGCCCTTTCAGCTGGTACCACTGAGCCTCATGGCTTCACGTTGATGGAGAGCACTGTGGGAAAGAGTAAGAAAGGAAGACGCCGCATCTTTCCGGTACAGGCTAACATCTTACCTGTCACAGAACCAGTGCCGTATTTGCCACCATTACCAGCGTCTATGATTACCGGAAATACACCTCCCTCCTTTTCGCCTGAACTTCCTTATTCCACCATACACTACCACAAAAAGAAGTTTCAGGCAGCTCAAGCTGGGGAATTCAAGCGCCAATACACCAGGCGGGCCACAGTTACATCATGTGGGAAATGTGGGGAGGATAAGAGTGAAGGAGGACACCAGCAGTACTATGGTAACATCTACTGCCCAAACAAAGCTGGTGTGCCATGCGAGGAATGGAGGGAAGCTTTAAAAACTAGGGGGTATGGAAAAAGAAAAGGAAAAACTGATCAGCAAGAGCCATCTCAGAAAAAAACAAAAGACCATTAAATACTATTCTACCCCACATACAGTGTACAATTCTAAAAAAGAACTTTCGTCAATCAAAGGAAACATCAGTGACTATTATAATCAAAGGAAACATCAGTGACTATTATAATCAAAGGAAACATCAGTGACTACTATAATCAAAGGAAACATCAGTGACTATTAAAAAAAACTTTTAATGCTGCCTAGTTTTGTCTCTGATAAACTAGAAGGTCCCAAACCCTTAGAAACAATTGGTAATCTGCATTCATTTGTAATGTTTTGATTGCCATTTGTTTCGTAAAGCAGAGGGAAAGTTTTTTTTTCTTCATTTTTATGCATATCACTGTTTTACTTCTTTGTTACATGACATTCCTATGGTGCAATGGTAGCACACTTGTCTCTGAGGACAAGAGATCTAGGTTCAAATCCTGGTGGGTTTTTACAAAGTAACAAGAGTAAAACATTTCAATTTGAAAAAGGAAAAAAATTAAATGTATTTATGACATTTATATGTCCTGAAAATTCTGTTAATTTTTAAAACTAATGTTTTTTGACATAATTTGTTAACAATATTGATAATTGAAGCTGATTTTCAAACATAAAATATCAAAATCATTTTAATTTGAAAAAAGTAGAAAAAATAGATGTATTTTTGACTTTTATATGTCCTGGAAATTCTGTTAAAGTTTAAAACTAATAGTTTTTGGCATAATTTGTTAAAAATATTAATTATTGAAGATGATATTCAATCAGAAAATATCAAATATGGGTAAAGAAAGTAGTTTTCCCTTATTAATCATTGCATCCCCCCTTTTATTTATTTTAATTTGTGGAAGTTTCAGAAACTGAAGAATGTCCCCCCACCTTGGCACCGAGCCGAAAGCATATTTCAGTTTTATCACATTCCCTTTTTATCAGCATACAAACAAACACTAGTACTAACATTTATTAAGATTAGTCAAATAGATATGTAAGCATCCTAAGGTAGTGTAGATTTATATTTGTTCAAATCATGAACCCCAAAATGGGGCACAATAAGGGATTAAAGTTTAACATTTGGGATTTTTTAAGAAAAAATAAAGAAAAGCAAAATTATTAGTCATTAAGGTTTCGTCAAAGATCAACATGTCCAAAAATTTATTTTTACAATAGCTCCGATACTATGTTAGGTATAAAGTTAAAACTTTAACAGTTTATAAATATTTCATTGATTAACAGATAGAAAGTATCACTTGATAAAAAATATTTGGAAAAATATTTAAATTGAGATAAAATCTTTTAAAAAATGCATATATTTTCAGAAAATTCACCTAATTAATTCCGTGCTTTTAGTGAAAACCATCATTGCAAAAACAAAATATATCTATCAATGAACAGGTTGGGGGGAAACGTAAATTCCGCTATAATAGTGGTATCTCACTATTATAGTGAAATTACGCTATATTTCCTGCCGTTGATACCCTCAATTTCATCCGATACCATGCAAGGCGTTTAAACCGCAAGTCATGGTGGGTATTAAAATGAACAAAAACTGTCATGCTTGCATGTTTTGAATTTTAATAAATTTTCTACCGTTGCGTTTAATAATGCGAGCACTCTTTTTTTAACGGAAGTTGCATTTTTAACATAGCAACCGATGATTACGGGGATATTTAAGCCTATTTGAATCTCACTTATTGCTCATTAATGTGCACAAATTGACACTTGTTGCGATTGTCAACTTAAACAGGGAAGGATTTATTTAATTAAACAAGAAAAAGATTATTTGTGTCTGCATGGTTACGGGTATGGAGGCCCGTTATGGTAAACAGAAAGACCCATTATTATCGCAGCGGCCGATCTTTTTGTGCATGGTTGTATTAGATAGTGAACATGGGAAATGAGAACTTATTTTTGTTAGAATTCAGTATAATAATTCTTTATTGATAACATTTAGAAAATCATAAGTAAAATATTTTTTAAAATGCTTAATAAACAAATTTAAAATATTATTGTTATAATGTTTCAGTCTTTATATAAAGATATAAAAAGAAATTATGACTTTCCGGTCGCATCATAACGACTGGTACATAAAGTGCATGGTTAATAAAAAAACGTTCAACTTATAAAAAATGTTTTGAATATGTTACAGCTGCGAATGATACGAGGATAATTTCGTTTGCACAGCGCCTTGCAGCATACCCTTTTCTGCATAAACCATACAGTGGCGTAGCATCGATTTTGAACGTGGGGGGGGGGGGCAGCCAGAGAAAAAAAAATTTTTTTACTTACTTACTGGAAAAGTTGACAAGCGCCAAAAAAAAAAGGACAAAGTTGCCCAAACTCGAAAATCCTATTTCGTGGGGGGGGTTAGGTACATCATTAAAAGTCTAAAAGTAGGGGGGCCAACCAGGCTTTCAATTAACATTTCCTATAGTATATGTAAGGTTGGGGAAAAAAGGGGGGAGCCCCCCCCCCCGGTTGCTACGCCCCTGCCATAAGAATTATCACGTGATGAAAAGATCCAGGGTGCACGTGGCTCGGTCATTTTTATTTGAGACTGTCTTCAAAGCAATGTAAATAAATATTTTTTTTAATAAGTACGTACATAGATATTTAAGTGCATTTGCTCATCAGATGGATTCATCGATGTAATAAAGTCCATAGGAGTCTGAGGCAAATTGAAAGTGGGGGCTAATTAAAAGGGGGGGCTACACCAACAAAAAAAAACCAATTTCAATGCATAGAAAATGTACATGTCTATCTTTGCAAAGAAAAGTGTGGGGCTAACCCCCCCCCCCCCCCCCCCCCCCCCGGGGGGTTCTGACGTATATGAAGTCAGTGATAAAAGATTTGATTGAAAATGAAAATATACGCTTCTCAAAATTCTAGTTCAGTTTTGAATATCTTGTACTTCCATTGCATGAATATGCTTTCAAAATTGTGAAAGTACTTTTTCAAATGCTGAATTGTTTGTGGCCAATTTGATGCTTTACATCAGTTTTTAATTGTGGAAAATATGAATTGTGTCCAAGATATTTTAGACACTTCTTATGCTGAATATTGCGCAGTGGTGATTGGTTATTTGAAGTTTCCTTGTGGTTTAAACAATAATACAATGGCATAAATCTAAAAGCCTGAAAAAATAATACTTTTAGTGTGATGTTTTGCTACATACTTTCATTTCCTAGAATATAATTAGATATAAATATTTTTCAAATAAAAAGAAAAAAAAACTTAAGCTATATCTCTCAGATATTAAAGTTTAATCATTCTTGCCTAAGCGCATAACCATTATATAAAGTTACATTTGTGCGCAGTTAAAAAGATAGTTAAATCATAATTATTTGAACGTGTTACAGGCACTTTTGTCAAATATTCCCGACACCAAAATAAAGTCTTTTTTTCTGAAATAAACAATTAACCAGCCGAAATCAAAAATTAGATATATTTTCTAGGACAGTTTTTATATAGGTAATTTTTTTGATTATTTATTATAAATTGATTTTTGTAAAGAGGATAGAAATCGAGTTTACCATTATGCTCTTTTTTATGTTTGCCATAATGTGTCTTTCCGTTTACCATAACGGGCCTCCATACCCGTAACCATGCAGACACAAATAATCTTTTTCTTGTTTAATTAAATAAATCCTTCCCTGTTTAAGTTGACAATCGCAACAAGTGTCAATTTGTGCACATTAATGAGCAATAAGTGATATTCAAACAGGCTTAAATATCCCCGCAATCATCGGTTGCTATGTTAAAAATCAACTTCCGTTAAAAAAAGAGTGCTCGCATTATTAAACGCAACGGTAGAAAATTTATTAAAATTCAAAACATGCAAGCATGACAGTTTTTGTTCATTTTAATACCCACCATGACTTGCGGTTTAAACGCCTTGCATGGTATCGGATGAAATTGAGGGTATCCACGGCAGGAAATATAGCGTAATTTCACTATAATAGTGAGATACCACTATTATAGCGGAATTTACGTTTCCCCCCAACCTGATGAAGGGCAAGTTGGACTTGGATAGCCTCTGGAAAGTTGTTTTCCCTGTTTATTTTGTCCAAATGTTAATACTTGAAAGCGAAAGTACATTGCAAATGGCGGGTTCTACAGCTCCCAGATAGCATGACTCCGTTGGGTCAACGTTGGTTTTTGTTGTATGGTTGGTAGAGTGTTGGCGTTGGGGGACAGATGTAGGCCCAACGTTGGTCCAACGTTCATTTACGTTGGCATGAAAGCTAAACCAACGGTGTTAGGCATGTGATGTTGGCCCAACGTTGGTCTAACGTTCATTTACGTTGGCATGAAAGCTAAACCAACGGTGTTGGGCATGTGATGTTGGCCCAACGTTGGTCCAACGTTCATTTACGTTGGCATGAAAGCTAAACCAACGGTGTTGGGCATGTGAAGTTGGCCCAATATTGGCCCATTGTAGTAACAAGTTGACAAGAATATTTATATAGCGACTTGGTGTTTGACATTAAGATGTTGGCCCAACATAGGTCCAACCGAGTAAGTGTTGACATGGATCAAGACCATTGTGTGTTGAGTATGAAATGTTGGCCCAACGTAGGTCTAACTGAGTACAAGTTGACACAAAACATTGCCACTTATTGTTGGTTATTCAATATTGGCCCAACGTTGGCCCAGCTTAATAAATGTTGACAATATAATGATCCATTGCTCTGTGTTGGGCATGCTGGACTGAACTGGAGTTGGTCCAATAGTAGGAATATTGGGATAACTAGTACATGTACAGGTAGCCTGTAATGTTTGAGAATGAAATGCTGGTCCAACGTTGGCCCAATGTTGCGAAAAGTATTCGTCAATTTAGATTTATCTATTTTAAATCGATGGTAATGATATAAGCAACTCATTATAAACATGTGATCATGATCTATATTATATATTGAATGGAAAATATGAGACAATCCTTATAAGTCTGTGAATTAAATATAGAAAAAATTCTATATTTAGCATCATTGAATCAAATTTAAAGTGCTTTGGGCTCCAAAATAAATAGGTCACTGGTA